TGGCTATCAACCAAGGAATGATCTCAGAAACAGGGGGTTAGCCAGTGAGAATCAAACCTTGGAGGCTATAGGATCATTGCCCAAACTAATCCATCCAACCCCTTAGACCTCTATTGTCTAGAGCAAGAGATATTGGAGCTCTTAGTGGATCTTTTCCAGCGAATGCCATCACTTCCGTGTGGGGAGTCGCCTAAGGACTTACAAGCCAGGGGTAGTGGTCATGTAGCCTTAAGATCTATCCAAAAGAGAGAGAATCTAGATTAAGACCATAAGCTAGAAGGATTAAGCATATGAAACCTCTAATCTATCCCATCTCAAACCCTAATGGGTAACTACTCACTACACATGAATGTAAACACAAGCAAATGCAATAAAAGAGACATCATAGATGAAAACTTTTATTGAAATAAGCAAGTGCAAATACAAAGCAAGATATCCAGGATCTAGGATTCAAGAAGCAAGAGCTTCAAGAACACAAAGATGGGATTAGTTCTAAAAAGTAAAAGACAAAAATTAAAGAGAAGCTAAAACAAAGATAATCTAAAGCTTGGTGGTTTTTTCGTGGCTTAGAGCCTTTAAATACAAGAGGTTTTAGGTTTAGGGTCAAAGGAAGTCAAGGGGGAAGCAACATTTTTCGGGTTTGACTTTGACTTCCCTCAGCTCGATCGAGTTGAAGCTTGGCCGGTCGAGTTGAGGAACTCGACCGGTTGGTCGAGTGGACGGTCGAGCTGGTCTTCAAGATGGCTTCTCCCTTCTTCCTTTGCGTGTCCAGTTGAGCTGCTTCCATGTGCCAAGTCCCTCCATGCTCCTCATGTCCATATGCTCCAGAATGCTCCAAAAGACCTATTTCAAAGGGCCAAACATGCATATGTATGCAAATGCAACCTAAAACTAACATGAATGCATAAGAAGAGAAAAGGAACAAGATATGATGCAAATGGAAGCTAAAACTATGCAAAAGATGCATAAAAGATGTGCTAAAACTATGTAAAATGCAAGTACATCAAACCCTAAACCCTTGAATCCTTCATCTCGATTCCTCTCATTATTGCTTGTTTTCCCCTTGATTTTGATTGCAAGTGCCCCTTGTGGGCTTGTTCTTCAGTATTTGCTTTCATGTCCTTCTCCTGCTTATAGTTTTGTGATTATTGCCTCACCTCACCTCTGTTTTACCATTGAAACTTGTTGCATATCTTTAAAACATTGAATTTGAGTTTGGTATTGGTTAAGATGCTTTGGTTTTCACTAGAATCGCTTATTGTCCCAAGTTCTTGATGTCCTTGGTTCGATTTGATTGTTTAGCTTCCTTTCCACCCCTTATTGTTTGATGTAGGTTCGGTTTCACTCTGTTTTCACTTAGCTCAATCGAGTTTGTCAGTCGAGTTTTTTGACTCGATCGAGCTGAGTGTCGAGTTGACCGAGCCGATCATTACAGCTCTAATTCTTTGTAATCTTTGATTAATTTCAGGGAATCCACTTCAAGAAGCAAAAAGTTCAAGATGTTGAGAGGTGAGGGAAGCCAAGCAGCTGAAGGAAGAAAGAAAAAGGCAGAGCAAGCAAGAAGAATGAGAGAAAGGATGTCCATAGATGAAGGGTTGGAGTATGATAGAATAGTAGTTGGATGGATGGGAGGTACCAATTCAAGTTCACACATCCATTGGCTGGCCCTTCCAAGCTTCTCCTGCCCAACCCAGAGCTCACCAGAGTAGTCGGGGGTGAGAACGTCGATTTCAAACCCCCTTTGTATACACTAGTTGGGCATGAAGATGATTTGCGAGAAGAGGAGCCTGAACTCGATCGAGGTGAGGATCGAGCTGAGGCTCAAGGTGAGGATCGAGCCCAGGGGAATGCGGATTTGGATGAGCCTGAATGTTACTATTTTGAGGAGTATCAGGCTCCAAGGATGAACCCCTCTGTTGTGGCTGCTCACAAGAGGATTGGACTTCTTCAAAAGTTCAACAAATCGCAAGGGAAGGCCATTGAAAAGATGCAAAAGTCCATGGACAAAATGGTGAGCAAGATCAAGAGTTCGGAGAAGAAAGTTTCTGGTTCTTCATCCAAGAAGAAGAAGACACCCATGACTCCTACTTTCCCTAGGAGTAGGTCACTCCTCACCACCCCAAGGAGGCTTCATACCCAAGAGCCTCACAGAGCCTCATCATTTGAGCCAAGGGAAGGAGAAGACAACTTGCAGAGGAGGAGGAAGAGTTCCAAGGCTCGACGCTTTAACTCGACCACAAGACTCGATCGAGTCCAAACAGAGGAAACTCAACTCGATCGAGCTGACGGTCGAGTCGGTCTTGAGGAGCCACAATTCGAGAACCCTGGGTTTGAGTACGATCTGACACCTTACCAGGGACTGTGTGATTTAAGTTTGGGGGAGGGTTCAAGAGATGATTTAACCTTGTTTTCTTTGTTCTTAGTTTTACATCCATCTATTTGCATAGAAAAACCAAAAAAATCATAAAAATTTCAAAAAAATTTCATCTTTTGCATTCATATTTGTTAGAATTGTTTAGGATCGCATCTTTCATTTGCATTGTTGATTTGATTTTGAGAACTTGTTCATCATTTGCGATTTTACCTCAAGTGTCAAAAGAAAAGAAAAGTTCCCTAAGTGTTTAGAAAATCCCAAACCGCTAGATGTTACCTCAAGAAGCCTCTCCCTAGGATGTTCTTAAAAGAAAAGTGAGCAAAGCTCCTCAGTTTCAAAGGCGAAATGCCAAAAAGGGTAGTTAGGATTTTGTTCTAAAAAGCTCTAAGTGTTGAACTCGATCGAGTTAGGATTAGGCGGCTCGAGCTGCTGTTCTTGCATCATCTTTGGTTCTAACACTTAGCCTTCTGCCAAAGCAAAGCCACTTTCTTGAGAGATCCCTGTTACTAAACCACCATACAAAAGAGACCCTCTTTGTCTCTTAACCCATAAACCCTTGAAACCAAATGAGTTGATTGATCTTGCATGTTTTTGGTTCACTGTTTTTGCTTAATGAATGTTAAAGGGATTTGCTGATTTGAATGCATTGTTTGAGTGACTGTGAAGTGGGATTGATGTTGATAAGCATGGTTAAATCTTAATGAATATCTCTCACCTTGTTGCATTCTAGAATCTCTAAGTTGGACATTTAGCAAATCGCTTTTCAAGTGTTGAATCACTTGTTTTCAAACCTCATCTCTTTCTTGTTCTATTTGTTTGCTTGAGGGCAAGCAAAGTTCAAGTTTGGGGGTGTTGATGTACTTGCATTTTACATAGTTTTAGTACATCTTTTATGCATCTTTTGCATAGTTTTAGCATCCATTAGCATCATATCTTGTTCCTTTTCTCTTCTTATGCATTCATGTAGTTTTAGGTTGCATTTGCATACATATGCATGTTTGGTCCTTTGAAATAGGTCTTTTGGAGCATTCTGGAGCATATGGGACGTGAGGAGCATGGAGGGACTTGGCATGGACGCAGCTCAACTGGATACGCAAAGGAAGAAGGGAGAAGCCATCTTGAAGACCAGCTCGACCACCTACTCGACCAACCGGTCGAGTTCCTCAACTCGACCGGCCAAGCTTCAACTCGATCGAGCTGAGAAGTCAACAGTCAAACCCGAAAAATGTTGCTTCCCCCTTGACTTTCCTTTGACCCTAAACCTAAATCCTCTTGTATTTAAAGGCTAAAAGCCACGAAAAAACCACCAAGCTTTAGATTATTTTGTTTTAGTTTCTTTTAATTTATTGTCTTTTACTTTTTAGAACTCTAATCCCATCTTTGTGTTCTTGAAGCTCTTGCTTCTTGAATCCTAGATCCTGGATATCTTTTGTATTTGCACTTGCTTATTTCAATAAAAGTTGTTTATCTTTCATCTCCTCTTTCTTATGATGTCTCTTTCATTGCATTTGCTTGTGTTTACATTCATGTGTAGTGAGTAGTTACCCATTAGGGTTTGAGATGGGATAGATTAGGGTTTCATATGCTTAATCCTTCTTGCTTATGGTCTTAATCTAGATTCTCTCTCTTTTGGATAATCTTAAGGCTACATGACCACTACCCCTGGCTTGTATGTCCTTAGGCGATTCTCCACATGGAAGTGATGGAAATCGCTGGAAAAATCCACTAAGAGCTCCAATAACTCTTGCTCTCGAAATGGAGTTCTAGGGGTTGGATGGATTAGTTTGGGCAATGATCCTATGGCCTCCAAGGTTTGATTCTCACTGGCTAACCCCCTGTTTCTGAGATCATTCCTTGGTTGATAGCTTTCACCTTGGGAAAGGGTTAGCTAGGCATTGAGAAGCCCAATATCAAGAGAACCTTGATACAAGGAGTTTTAAGAGCAAGATCGATTAAGTGTAGCTTCCCTGATTGCAAAACCCTGTCTTGAACCCTAATTCTCGCATTAGCTTGTTAAAGTCGCTGCCTTTATTGCTTTTTACTTCAACTCGACCCTAAACTCGATCGAGCTCGGTACTCTGTTCCCACTCGACTCGAGTCCTTGGTCGAGCTGTTGCTCTACTGCTTTTTTACTTTCTGCATTGCATTTCATTTTATAGGTTGTTAGTGTTACCCCATATCATTTACTGCTTGCTTGACTTCCTTGGTTGTTTCATATTCTCATAGAGTGACAACTTCCCATTTTGGATTGATACCCTTTATGCTATAATGACTATATGGTTAAAGGGAATTGTTGACTGTGTTTGTGTTTGCATCTTACCACCTCATTATATACCACTGTTGCATTCCACCACATCTCATTTCATATCTTTCACACCCACACAAAATCCTATCATCAACGGTCGGTCGAGACGTTCGGCTGGCTGTCGAGTCTTGGTCGGCTATCGGCACGGTCGGGTCGATCGTGGCCGAGAGTTTTCGCGTTCGTTTGTCGGGCTCAGCCGGACGGATGATTTTGGTCGAAGGATTCGGCCGGACGTGGGACGAGGCCTTCCTGGTCGGACGGCGCGATCGGCCGCGGTACATGAGTTGTGCCGCACGGCCGCGAGGCAATGCTTCCCGGTTCGCGCGGTACGGTCGTGCGTGGCTTCGGCTGTGTGATTTTGGTTTGGCTGACTGCGGGATGTTGCCTCCCGGATCGGTACATGAGCTCGGCCATTGTTCAGGTGGGACGGATGAGCGTCCGGATGTTGGCCGACCGCGTGACGGATGTTCCTTGGCTGGCCGTTCCGCTCGGTTCGGCCGCGAATTCTCGATAAAGTTGCTTGGACCAGTCTTTACTACTTTGATCATAATTCTTTTTCTACTCATCCAAATGATGCCAATCCACTTGCGTTAGAAATTTAACTCACAAAGAGCACCCAGGAAAGTGGTCTTGATGAAATCTATTGAGTAGATTATTTTTAAGCTCCTCCCAAAGTTTATGTTGTGGCATTGGACTGGTTTGAAGTCCAAATCCTTTGTTTTGCTCCATAATGCACCTTTTGACCTAAAATGACTCTTTGCAGTATAAATCCATAAAAACTACCTTTTAAGACAAGAATCCACTAGAAAACCATTAGAAAACCATAGTAAAATACTATAAAAAGCATGTAAAATAGAGGTATATCAGCGGGAAGAATGGTTATCAGATCTCCCTGTTGTAATCGCATCCCCTCTATACCTCTTGAGAAACCCAAACTTGTGTTAGCCAAATTAGTTGAGACACCTCTTTCCTTAGATGACTCGAGTCTTCAGAGATTGAGTTAATTCGTAAAACATCCCGAAAACTCTGGGATTGTGATCTATGCCCCCAAATCCAAGTTCTCCCGATTAAATCACACCTAAACCCCTCATAGCGTTGACCCATTGAAAATCCATCGACACCGATCCACCGGATTATCCGGAAAAAACCCTCCAGTAAAAACCATGTAGAATCCCCAACCTGCTCCGGTTCGATGTCCGTGTAGGAATCTTCGAAGACCAAGATCTGATCAGATCTCCCTTTGACATACCAAATATCCCATAAAGCAACCCAAATCACCACCAAATCCTGTCCGAATATCATGCCCAAGAATCAGATTTGAAAATCGCCATTGCTATCGTCCTCTTTCCGTTCAATAGGTCATTTTGATCTATTTTTTCAATAATTTATTATGTGTGGAAAAGACTCTACGTTAAAAAAGGAAAATAACTCACACAATCTTTGAAAGTGTCGTAATGACTCACATAATTATTTTGAAAGCTGTCTTGTTAAAGAGGTACAAAAGACATAACACCCTTGCTCACACTTTTTAATAACGACTTTGCCATTAAGAAAAAAAAAGGTAACCTAGTAAGTTGTAAAAGAAAAATATTTACCATGTTTGTGTCGAGAAAGGTCGATAACCGGCGGCGAAAAATTCGGAGACTCAACTTGCTCAGATTACGGTGACGACTGAGAAGAAAGGTTTACGGAGGCAACGAAGAGATAATGTAGGTCTTTAACATTTAATTTTGATTAATACGATGAGTTCTATGTTGGTGAATTTTTGTTAAAATATTGTTGGTGAATTTTGCAGGTTCTGCAGGTGGAATGGTTAGCTGAGTGTCGGAGCAAAATACAATCTTAGGTGGTGTAGTTTCGGGTAAGCGAAATTGTAGATAATTTTCTTTATTAGAGGTATCGGAGTCGGACAAGTATCATACTTGAACCACTGAGTTCTTGACAGGTCTTTTGCTTCCCGTAGGAGGTCGAATTCGTAACGGTGGGAGGGACATCTGCGTGAGCGGAAAGGAAAGGTAATGTAAAAGTAAAAGATTTTTGAATATTGGGCGAGCAATTATGATAGATTTTTGTGTTCTAATTGAAGAAGGAAGGGCGGTAGATTTATTAGTATGTATAGATCTATCTCTTAGTATTAACATATACTTGACCTTGCGGTAGATATATGAGTTCCGGTTAGTTTTAAATGGACATCTTATTGTAAACTTTTTTCGCAGAGATGGGTTCTTCTACATTGGGGAGGGAATATCAGGGGAGATTGTTCCCAGCCGGAAAATCTCCTTTGCAAGATCGAAGCTTGCATCACAACTGCAAGTTGACCGAGTTTGGGCAACTGAAGCACTCTGTAGGAGAAGAAGTTTTCAATGACGTTATGAGTACATCTCAAGTGGGAATTATTCTGAAGCTTGCCTCAAGGAGTTACATGTGGTGTGCGAAGACATGTCATAACCTCCTAACACATCAATTGGCTATTGAGTCGAGTAATGAGATATGGTCACTATTTGGAGGTCGGCCAATTAGGTTTTCTCTCCACGAGTTTGGGGAAATCACACAGCTAAACTGTAAAGAGTTTGACCGTAATGATGATTTGCAAGTAGAACACACTTTTTTTGGGACCTGGTCGGCATTAAAGATGGGGAAGGACCTTCTTGGCATGAGTTGAACGGAGTGCTTGGCAGATGCAGCACTTGGACGTACGAGCAGAAGAGAATGCTTGCGCTGCTGTTTGTTGTGCACATTGGAATATATGGCATTTCTCGGTCTAGTAGGATTTCTTTTAAGCATGCTAAAAGGGTTCTTGTTCCGGAGTCTTTTGAGAGTTATCCTTGGGGCAAAGTGGGATTTAAGGAGTTAATGAAGTCCATAAAAGTAGCTAACCTTGATGGGAAGACGTACGTCGTACACGGATGTGTACATGCGCTGTTGATATGGGCATACGAGGCTATTCCAATAATAGGTGAGAAATTTGGTAAGAGACGAGGAAACATTGAAATCCCATTACTTCGGTGAGAATCATGTCGCAACATATACAATCTGGAAGCATTATTGGAAGAAGAGAAGAAAAAAACCGGTCTGGATAAAGTATTAGTCGTTTGCCAGTCGTGTTGTTTCTTATGATTCTTAAACGACACGATTCTTAGAAGAATGTATTTGTTTACTAAGATTATTTTGTAATGCCCTTGCAGGTTTGAGTTAGGCAATTAGTGTTGAAACCTCTGGAAGAGATATATCCCGTTTGGGCAGGCGAAGAGGCAGGAGGTGATATCAAGCTTGATAACATGATTCCTGATATTGTTGGAGGCTGTCTGGATGAAAGTTGCTGGGAAACAGAAGAGCAACTGTTGAACAAAAAGAAGAGGAAGAAAAAGTTAGAAGTGGTGGTAGATAGTGATGATGATTTGGTAGAGAAACCTTTGCAAAAGATTTCAAGTAAGAAGAAGGAAGAGCAGAAGACGAAAAAGATGGAGCCGAGAGACTATAGTGATTCTGAATCTCAGAAAAAAACGGAAGATGGGTTAGGTTGAGATGGAAGAGATATAAGAAAACCATCCGAAGGCCTTGCTGATGAAGCACTAGTGAATGTGCTTAACACTATTCCTGAGAAACTGAATGAGCTGGAAACGAAGTTTGAACTATTGCAGACGAACAAAACTACTGTGGAGGAGGGGTCGACGAAAAAAAGGAATGAAGTAGGCGATGAAGTAGCCGAGGAGAAGGTGTATGATGCAGAGTCTGACACTGTTGGGGAGAACGACGATAAGAAGGGTTGTGAAGCGACTCCGGAACCGGTTAGTTGGTATTTGTTTTAATGCAGTGGTTTTGTTTTACATATTTGAAATACCATTGATTCGTGTTTACAATATCATTGCAGTCGTGGCTTGCAATAGAGGTTGAAACATCGCAGGAAGGGATTACTATTACCAGAACCATAAGAAACCCGTCATTCGATTATAAGAGACCCACGCAAAGGAAGCTGGAACTGAATGATCCCAGTGAAAAGTTAGGAGGTGATTCGATGGCGGGGAAGACGCCGTTTATAATTCCACAACTAAGTGATGAAGACGATGGTTTTCTGATGAAAGCATTTGCGGCCAACGCACAAAATCTGGGAAGGCAGGGAAAACAGGACAAAGCAAAGGTGAGGCCTATGCCTTCGCCAGACATCCATTTGTCACCGAAAAAAATTCATCCTAGATCTGCCGTGAAACGGAAAATGAAAACAGTCCTCAGGCGACGTATGATCCTTTAGAGAAGGTCGATAGAAAGAAGCAAGTTGCGCTCGTCGGATATGTGAAGACATATTTGTAAGTCACCACTATCTAGAAGCCCCGTAGATTAGAGTGGATACATATATGTCATTGCACACATGATGTTGATGAGATAACCTTTGTTGCAGGGATAACCCAATCGAAAGTAGCAGTCCAGAGGCAGATTTCTACCAAACCTTAATGACACCAAAAAAACAGTGGGTCGTAGATGAATACGGCTGGCTTTCTGATATGGTAAATGCGTGAAATTTAGTCATTTTTATGTATGTATGAGATATGTGATGATATGTACTGTATGAAATATGTGAATAAATTCAATGTTTTTCTGTTGCAGCATATGGTCGCGGGCATGAACATGTTCCGCCAAAGGTCATTGCGTAGGCCGTGTCCATATAGAAACGAGAAGATTTTTTTCCTCGACCTTTAGTTCACCAGTTTGTGGTGTATACAGTACAAAAATGACTATCTCGGCCACGAGAAGATGTTTGAATTCACTATTGGGTTCGAGAACCATTACAACGGTATTGCCCCAGACTGTACCGTAACCAACAAGAAATGGGTTCAAGATGCTGACACTTTGTACATCACCCATAATATTTGCAATAGTCATTGGGTGGCAGTTGAGGTTAATTTGCTAAAGAAGAGGGTAAAAGTTTATGATTCCATCTACTCGGCATTTGAGGAGAATGACGTAAAAGAGTCTGTGAAGCCGGATATGAAGCTGATTTCGCTGCTTTTGGGACACCTCGCACCAAAAGAGGAGAAACAAAAAATGGGCGGGTGCGCCTACAACTTCTACCTGATAAAGGGTGTTCCGCATAATGACCAAAGCGGGGACTGCGGTGTATACTCTCTGAAGTGCATCGAGTGTTTAGCTCTTGGACGTTGTTTAACCAGCATCGACGACACAAATGTGGGTGACATCCGTCTCAAGTACGCTGCTGAGATGATGGATGAGGTGGACTTGTCTGACTTCCTGCAACCGACAATCCCAAAGACAAGCCCGTACCCGCGTGGTACATCTGATGACGCTCCGCAGGGGCTGGAGACGGATTCGTTGGATTCGTTGTAGTGAAACCATCGTTTAGGGAGAATGTAATGGTTTATCAGTTGACGGAGTCATTGTATTAAGTAATTTGGTGTAGTGTTTATGGTATGTTTGTGTGGTTTGGAGTTTAGGCGCCGTCATATATGTAGACTGTTGTAATGGTAACTACATTTTTGAAGTGAACCAAGTGACTGCATGACTTGTATGGGTTCGTTAAATTTTTGGTTGAGAGGAAGAAAATTTGTTGCTCTTACCGTGTTTTTGTGGAATATGTAATGGGAAGTGAGACCATAAGCCACGCTGGCAGATGAGTCGTGAAATTGCAGACCGGGATTGCCACTTAGCCGTCTTTGATTGTATCTGTAAACTGGCCACGAAATTACAGTAAAAAAAAAAAGAATAATTTAAATTTTTGACTAAGTCAGATCTGGTGTAGTGTAGAAGAAAGGAAGAGCGTGAGGCTGTTGTGCCATATCCTAACAAAAATTTATCTGAGCTGCCATGTGATCGGCTCAATCTGGACGTATTTGTGTTCTCTTTCATTCGGTATAACTGTTTCCTTTTGGTTCAACTATGGTTTTTTTTTTTTTAAATCAAATAGATCAGAGAAAACATGATGTATAATGTGAAAATAAACCTAACAATTACCATAAACACATGTATAACATATATTAAGACACTAATAATGATAGTATGATGCAATATACAGTTTTATGAAAAAATAAATGTTTAGATATCAAGTAACCATGAACTAACCCTTAGAATATAAGGAAAACATAGGTATTGTTATGTTATTTTGACGAGAATACACCAAAATGTCAATTTCCTAACATATAACTCTATGATAATGTTTATATGAGTATTATAAGGCCTAAATACATTTGTTCAATTACAAATTCAAGTTTTATGACACAGTTCAACTAGAAATATAAGAAAACGGTGAATGTTCAACTATAGTACAGTTTGGTTCAACCTTTATCTTGAGTACAACTACGCTCATATTTGGCGAAATTTCACCACCACGCCGGCGGGAAATTTTGGAAGGATATTAAATTTTAAAATAATTGGGTTTTCCATTTTCATTTAATTTATTTTTCTTTGCGTCCATTTTCGAAAATCCTTTACTTTACTCATAGGGATTCTGGAAGAGCAGAGAGGAGAGAGAGATAGGGGTTTCGGGCTCTAATTTCTGGAGAGAGAGAGAATCTAGAGAGAGACTCTTCTTGGTTCCATTTCCAGTCGAAGCAGGTGCCGATTTCCAGATTTCCAGATTCAAATTAAGGTTCAATATCCTCGAATCCCTGGATTCATGCGTAGATCTAGTACAGTTTTGAGGCTTTTTAATGAATTTTCACTATATGTAATTTTATATTTTTCATTTTTTGCTTTTCTATCTGAATCACTGTTTCTTGTCACAAGGGAATGGGTCCTCACAGTTGGATAGCTACGTCTTCCTCCTCCTCGGCGTCTTTAGAAACTGGTCTCATCGGAGAAGTTGAATACGGAATGCCCAAGCATTGTTACTGATGTACTTGCATTGTGCATAGTTTTGGGACATCTTTTATGCATCTTTTGCATAGTTTTAGCATCCATTAGCATCAGAGCCGTGCCAAGGTCAAAACATGCCATAGGCCAAAAAAAAAAAATGAAATCAAAAGAAAAACTGTCTACTGTAATAAACATTATCATATCATAAAAGAAAATAGAGAACTAAACATACTAAACTAATAACTTCATTCTTGTTATTTTCTTTCCAACAAATCACTAATTAACCATTCAAAATCAACTTATGTAACAAACTTTTTTCCGATAGATAAGATAACTTTTTTTTTTTGGTCAACTAGATAAGATAACTAAGTCACTCAACTCTAATAGAGATGATTAATAACTAAATAAAAACAGAAAAGTGGAAAAGATGAAAATAGCCGACAAATTTATAAGCATATATGCATATGAACTAAAATATAACACTAATATGCTTATATGTGTTTAAAAAAAAATGGAGGCCGTAGGCCAATGCTTTTTCCTCATAACGGTAGGCACAGCTCTGATTAGCATCATATCTTGTTCCTTTTCCCTTCTTATGCATTCATTGTAGTTTTAGGTTGCATTTGCATACATGTGCATGTTTGATCCTTAAACAGGTCTATTTGGAGCACTATGGAGCAATTGGGACGTGAGGAGCAAGGAAGGATTGGTGCATGGACTCAGCTTGACCGCGCATGCTTAGGATGAAGAAGGAAGCCGCCTTGAAGCCAGCTCGACCCATCACTCGACCAACCAGTCGAGTTCGCCAACTCGACCGGCCAAGACAACTCGATCGAGCTGCGGAGTCAAGTCAAACCCGAAAAATGTTGCTTCCCTTTGACTCCTCCTTTGACCCTAAACCTAATCTTTTCCTATTTAAAGGCTTGTAGCCACGAAAAAAGCAACTCTGAACCTTTTTAGCTTTTCTTTTGTTTTAGCTTTTTAATTTAGCTTGTAATCTTTTCTTAGCCTCTCTTTGTGTTCTTGAGCTTTTGCTTTGAACCTTAGATCTAGGCTTATCTTTATTTATTTGCACTTGCTATTTCAATAAAAGTTGTTTAGTTTCATCTCCTCTATCTTTTAATGTCTCTTCATTGCATTTCATATGTTTTCGCAATGTGTAGTGAGTAGTCTTCTTTAGGGTTTAAGATGGGCTAGACTAGAGGATTCTTATGCTTAATCTTCTTGCTTGATGTTCTTAATCTAAAATCTCTCTCTTTTGGACAAAACCTAAGGCAACACAACCACTATCCATGGTGTGATTGATCATAGGCGATTTTCCTCATGGGAATGATGGGAAATCGCTTGAAAAGGTCCACTAAGAGCTCCAATATGCTTGCTCTCGAAATGGAGTTTATAGGTGTTGGATGGGTTAGTTTGAGCAATGATCCTATGCCTCTAAGGCTTGATTCTCACTGGCTGACCCCCTGTTTCTGAGATCTTGCCTTAGATGATAGCTTTCACCTTGGGAAAGGGTTAGCTAGGCTTGAGAAGCTCAATACCAAGAGATAGCTTGAGTACAAGTGGTTAAAGAGCAAGATTGATTAAGTATAGCCTTCCCCTAGTCGCAAGACCCTGTCTTAGACCCTAATCTTAGTTCAATAGCTTAAAGTTTGCATCTTTATCGCTTTTCATTCGCATTTCCTCTGTTTTTACTTCAACTCGACCCTCAACTCGATCGAGCTCAGTTACTCTGTTCACTCGATCGAGCCCTTGGTCGAGCCGCTTTTATTTCTTGTTTTTCCTTTGCATTTCATTTCATTAGGTTGTTAGAATTCCCATCATCTTTACTGTTTGCTTGATTTCTTGTGTTTGCATATTCTCATAGAGTAGCAACAAACCCTTTGGATTGATAACCTCTTATACTACATGACTATGATGGTTAAGAGAATTGATTGATTGTGATTGCACCATACCATCTCATCTTTTCACCCCTGTTTGCATTCCACCTCATATCATTTACATCATTTCATCACACACACACAAATCCTATCATCAATTTGGCGCCGTTGCCATTTGGGTTTGATTTTGTTGCATTTGAGTTTCCAAATCACTTGGACGATCAAGCTATCCCACCCTTGTTCTTGTATTGCTGGGTTTTTGATTGTTTTGCAGGTGCATGCGAACTCGATCGAGTCGAACAACTGAAGACTTGGTCGAGCTAGATTTCACCACGGGCAGAAACAAAGTCAGAGACTCAGAGGGTACAAGAGAACCAGAGGTGGTTGTTACTGAAACCATGGACGATACCAGAGGGTAATGGAAACCCTTTGGGTAATGGACTCGGTCGAGCTAGGCAGACTCGACCGATTGGTCTAGGAGATGCTCCAAACCGCCATCAACAAAGGCAAGGATTGTCCCACCACCTGTCCAGAACCACAACTTTGAGATCAAGCTGGGTATGATCAACCTTGTGCAGAACAAGATGTTCCATGGGATTGCCAAGTGAACCCCATTGATCACCTTGATGAGTTTGATAGGTTGTGTGATTTGACTAAGATCAATGGTGTCTCTGAAGATGCCATCAAGCTGAGACTCTTCCCTATGTCTCTTGCTGACAAGGCTCACCAATGGGAGAAGAGCCTGCCCCATGGCACAATCACCACTTGGGATGAAGTGCAAGAAGGCATTTCTTGCTAAGTTCTTTTCAACCGGTCGCACAGCCAAGCTAAGGAGTGAGATATCAGGCTTCATTCAGAGGAACAATGAGACTTTTGCTGAAGCTTGGGAAAGATTCAAGGGTACACAAGTCAATGCCCTCATCATGGTTTCAACAATGAGTCATTGCTCTCTACTCTCTATAGAGGTTGTTTGGCAAGGTATAGAGAGATGTTGGACACAGCCAGCAATGAGAACTTCCTTAATCAGGATGTAGATGATGGCTGGCTAGTGGAAAACATTGCAAACTTTAGATGGAGAGTATATACGCAATCAGAGAGTATGACACAACCGGAGCTGACCACACTCGATCGAGTCAGATGAGAAATTGAGAAAGAGTCAAAGTCGTTGAATGAGAAGTTGGACAAGCTTATCTTAGCTCAGTCCACAATGAAGAAGGTCAATTTTGTGTCTGCTGAAGAGATGGAACCTGTTCAAGAAGGGGAGGATACACAATATGCTGAAGTTTGTTACATGAGCAATGGGCAAGGAGGTTACAACAAAGGATATTACAACTACAAAGCCAACCCAGCCATGTCTTACAGAAACACTAATTTGCCAACCCTCAAGATCAGGTTTACCCTCAACAACAGCAAGCTCGATCGAGTCAAGCTCCTCCACAAGGGTATGGCAGAAAAACAACTACCAAGGCCCTCAAGGCCTTTTCCTGGACAGCAAATGCACATACCACCTGGATTTCCCCACCAACCACCCCAGCCTGCGCCTAACCAAGAGCATGAGCTCAAGGCTATGTTGAAACAATTGCTCCAAGGTCAAGCTGAGGAGCATGGAAGGACTTGGTGCATGGACGCAGCTCAACTGGATACGCAAAGGAAGAAGGAGGAAGCCATCTTGAAGACCAGCTCGACCATCTACTCGACCAACCGGTCGAGTTCCTCAACTCGACCGGCCAAGCTTCAACTCGATCGAGCTGAGAAGTCAAAGTCAAACCCGAAAAATGTTGCTTCCCCCTTGACTTTCCTTTGACCCTAAACCTAAATCCTCTTGTATTTAAAGGCTAAAAGCCACGAAAAAACCACCAAGCTTTAGATTACTTTTGTTTTAGTTTCTTTTTAATTATTGTCTTTTACTTTTTAGAGCTCTAATCCCATCTTTGTGTTCTTGAAGCTCTTGCTTCTTGAATCCTAGATCCTGGATAATCTCTTTTGTATTTGCACTTGCTTATTTCAATAAAAGTTGTTTATCTTTATCTCCTCTTTCATTTGATGTTCTATTTCAATTGCATTTGCTTTGTTTACATTCATGTGTAGTGAGTAGTTACCCATTAGGGTTTGAGATGGGATAGATTAGGGGTTTCATATGCTTAATCCTTCTTGCTTATGGTCTTAATCTAGATTCTCTCTCTTTTGGAAATCTTAAGGCTACATGACCACTACCCCTGGCTTGTATGTCATTAGGCGATTCTCCACATGGAAGTGATGGAAATCGCTGGAAAAGTCCACTAAGAGCTCCAATAACTCTTGCTCTCGAAATGGAGTTCATAGGGGTTGGATGGATTAGTTTGGGCAATGATCCTATGGCCTCCAAGGCTTGATTCTCACTGGCTAACCCCCTGTTTCTGAGATCATTCCTTGGTTGATAGCTTTCACCTTGGGAAAGGGTTAGCTAGGCATTGAGAAGCCCAATATCAAGAGAAGCCTTGATACAAGGAGTTTTAAGAGCAAGATGATTAAGTGTAGCTTCCTCTGATTGAAAACCCTGTCTTGAACCCTAATTCTCGCATTAGCTTGTTAAAGTCGCTGCCTTTATTGCTTTTTACTTCAACTCGACCCTAAACTCGATCGAGCTCGGTACTCTGTTCCACTCGACTCGAGTCCTTGGTCGAGCTGTTGCTCTACTGCTTTATTTATTTTGCATTGCATTTCATTTTTAGGTTGTTAGTGTTACCCCATATCATTTACTGCTTGCTTGACTTCCTGGTTGTTTCATATTCTCATAGAGTAACAACTTCTCCCATTTTGGATTGATACCCTTTATGCTATAATGACTATCATGGTTAAAGGGAATTGTTGACTGTGTTTGTGTTTGCATCTTACCACCTCATCATTATACCACTGTTGCATTCCACCACATTTCATATCATATCTTTCACA